GTGGTGGGATAGCCCTCCCGCTCCAGCATACGTCACTGCATGGGATTCCTTCCCCGTGGAGTGCAATGCAGGAAAAAAAAAGTCAGCGGCTTTTCACGCGACATTTATCCACAAACTGGTCCTGGATTAAGCTCCAAAAGTTTTTATCAGTCAGATTCCACCGTGAAAAATGTCTGTTTTATCCCCTTTTATGAGTTTTTGGCCATTGACTATCTTTAAATCGCTGCTTCCTGGTCAACAGTCGGCTCTGGAAGCGATCGCTTTTTTCTTCTTTTTTTTTCTTCCTTTTTTTTGAAGCGAGTGGTTGAAGCAAATGCAGCATAAGAGCCCCCTGGTGGCTGAAGAAAAAAAATCCACGTATAAGCCGCACCGGATTATAAGCCGCATGGTTCAAAGTTCAGGAAAAAAGTTGCGGCTTATAGTCCGAAAAATACGGTAATTAATTAGATTCATTAGATTCAGGTCAGGACCATTAAATGGCTCCTCTTTGGCCTCCACAGAACTGTTTGTCTGAATATAGAGGTCAAAATCAGAATTATTTCTATGATAATTTGTTTTTAATTTGTCATTAAAACAAAGCTTTTACCTGTTAGTGCTCAGAACGTGTTGAGGATCAGTCTCAGGTACTACCACACTAAATATTTAATCATTAAATGTTTAACTGACTGAGCTGTAGTCTTTTATATGATCACCAGTCTCATTCCATATGAGCCGATTAGCTTTCTGCATGTTCTTCAGTGCAGTAATGTAACTTCTGCTTTATGCCAGTCCCTCACAAGTTACTCATGCACTCCAAGCTTTCTGCTAACAACAACAAACAACAATGGAACAACAAACTACAGTAGTTTACACTGTACGGATGCTACTGTGACTCCTGCATTTCCCCTCTGCGGGACAGTAAAGCCTATTTATTTTCTCTTTTCTTTAATCATAAGCCTATACCGCCATCTCGTGGCTGCAGACTGTAATGTTTGCTCCTGGGTTCATGTCAGTCAGAATCAATCAAAAATGCTCAATGAAGAGAAAAAAAACACATATACACTCCGGAGTCTAAGTTACAGGAACAGCCACACTATGAAAAAAAAAGTGTGATTTATAACAAACAAAGCAGACATGGTTTCAGGCACTAACTCTTGTTGATTTACTTTGTTCTAACTTTGCTGCTTTCTGTTCAAATATTATTTATTAGGAGCTTTAGTTATTTCATGCTGAAAAGAAAGCTCATGTGACAAACGTGCCTGAAGTGGGCGGAGCTTAAAGCCACACATTACCAGAGACTGCAGACAACAGTTCTGTAAACTGGTTCCTGCAGGCCGGGACACGAGGTCCAGTAGTCTAATGGTGATGTGTGGTTCTGAAAGACTGTAAGAAATAAAACCAACTTTTCAACAAAGGTTGAACAATTTTTGTAAAGTTCAGAGTTTATGGATCAGACTGTATCAAAATGATCAGTTTATGTTTAGTGAGAATTAATAGAACATTTCAGTTAACACTGTTTTCAATTCTGCACTGTTTTGTGTTCCTTCAACACAGTTAGCCTCAATATACAAAACCCCAGTGTGTGAATGTGAGTGTGAATGAATGATGCATGAAAAATTGTAAAGCGTCTTTGAGGTTCTCGAAAAGCGCTATATAAAACTAGGGGTGTCCCGATCCGATATCGATATCGGATATCGGTCCGATATCAGCCAAAAAACGAGTATCGGATTTTATCGGACTGCATAAAAAATGTCCGATATAAGCGCTCCGATATTAGCAGTCCGTTCCAGCAGTCCACTGACTCTGCTCCAGTGTTTCTATCCAGCAGCGCTTGGATCCTGCTTGAAGCGCTCACGTGATCATAACAACAGCAGCGCTAACAAGTTAGCAAGAATGTCGGCAGCAGAACTTTCTATTTTCATCAGAAACAGAGTTGCAGCTAAGTGTAAAGTTGTCATGCACAAGTTTTCCGAGGGGAAACACAGAAC